TTCCGATATCGTCAGTTCTGTTATCGTTTATTCAAGGTTGATCTTCCATGAAGGCTACCGGAAATACGAGCTTTTAAGTTCTTGTCAATTTTTCCGTTTAGCCGATCTTAATCGGAAATCGTTCAGAGAGCGGCGACGGCGATGAATCGAGGGAATTGATTCGAAAGAGAGAGAGAGAGAGACAAGCTCGTATCGCGCGCGGCCTTCGCGGCCGCTCCGGTTACGGAAATCGTTAATTCGAAGCCATTTTCCCGTTTATCGACTTCGTCGTTAATATTCGTGCTCTCGTGCGACGGGCCATTTCGATTAGTTCCGCGGCGATACCGATTGCTATGGTAAAGTCGATAATATTACTGCGATATCACCGTGTATACCTTTGCCTGTGTTAGAGATTGCAAGATAACGATAAGCGACACGATCAGACAATTCCGGATTTGACGTTTGATCTCACTTCCACTCACGTTTCATGCACAATGGCCGCTCTCCGCAGAATCCGATCATGTCCCGGACATCCGTTGGATGAAACTTCATTGTCCTCGCGACTTATTCGCCTCCGTAGAATAATAAATGCACTTTTTTTTTCGCTGGTATCTGTCATAACTTGTCCTTTGTAATTGTTGGTTTTATATTACCTCGCTGTTTTTTTCTCCACTATAAGGAGACAGGATCGGGTGGTTGTCGTCAATTATTACGATAATCTCTCAGCTAGAAGGAACGTTCGATAGTTCTCCGGTTTACGGGAGAGTTTCGCGTTTAATCTTATAGCGCGCAGTCGCTTCGGCCGTGCATTTTACCGTCATTCGATCCGCTTTTAACGATTACTAAAGTAGTCGTTGATGTTTCGTCGTGAAATTCGCTCGCTGTTTTACGACGGGGTGGTTTTTTGCGCATCAACTTCTCGCCGAGGACGATGAATATTGCTCCTGGAATTCGCGAGCGCGATATTCGTCGACGATGTATGTTCCATACGTTTTGTTTCGGAAAGAAAAGTTTTTCCCTCGGTCTGTCATATGATGCTGCGCACCTAATGAAGCCGTTGTTTTCGCAGTAATTCCCGTCAAACTTTCGTTCTGCCTCGCTCGATCATAACTCGACGTTTTTTCCCGTTCCTCGACATTGTACCGCGCATCGTATTAATTGAGCCGAATTGAGTATTTCCGTTACGTTTCACGCGAATGGAAAAATTACATTCTGTATTGCAAGTTTTTTCTCTCGAGTTTGCAACTGTCGTTCACACATCGCTATTAAAATCTTCTCGTATTTATCGAAGTCCGCGTTGTATCGTTAATCTTTCTTTCACAAATCACACTTTTAACGCGGTTTAATTAGATGAAAACCGGAACTAAATCTTCGTTTAAAAACTTTTTCTCGATGCTTTCACGACACTCTTAACTCAGATCCGCCCTTCGGCGTTGCATTACGTCGGTTGCCATTCTCATCGTTCAACACGCTTGGAATTTTAAGGTACAGTAATCTCGCACATTCTTCTTCACTACGACGACAACACTGTTACTCGCAATCCTCTACTCGACGTTATTAGAATGAGCAAGAATCTCCCCTCGCCTATTTCGCGCGAACGCTTCCAGGTATCTCCTTAATTTTCAATTGACTCGGGGATTTCCTTTTTTTTGTAGCGCGCTACGTTTATCGCGGGCAAAGTGGAAATTGTTCGTTCATGGCCGAGAGCGTTTTAACGAGGTAAGATAAAGGGAGAGAGGAGGTGGCGAATCGCGGCGTCGCGTTCTCAGGAAGTTCCCGAAGACTCGCGTCTGGAAGAAAATTCGTCTAGTTTGCTTCGCGATCGATGCAAAAGTTTCTCGAGAACGACGCGCGTAACTGGTCCCGGGATATATAATTTGTGAAACTCAGAGGGAGGTCCAAGTTTTGGAGGACATCCGACAGAGAGTTCCGCGAGAACTGTGCTTTTCGGAGACGAGGAGAATGATGAGTCTCTCTCTTGGTCCGCTGACTAACGTCGGAAAAATGCTTCCCGTAGGCCGAACATTCTCGGAGAAATAAGAATTTGTGCCATTACTGCTTATTTCAAGCACGTCCGAGGATCCTCGTCGAAGAATTGCCCCCGTCGTTCTTCGTCTTACTGGGATTCCGCGTTCGTTGTCCGTAACGACGTGTTCTTATGTTCGCGAATTCCTCGCAGGCCACTTCACGATCATTACGGTTCCATCCACGCCACCATCTGAAAAATATATTACGACATCGGGATCACTTTCCAAGTTCGAATAAAGTGTGGGCGTGCGGAATAAATCGCGTGAAGAATCGCCGCGTGATTTTTTTTTTCTTTTGGTTCTCGCACGTGGCCAAATCGAGTGTAAATAATCATAAAAACGAAATCCATAAAATTTTATTCTGTTTTTAATTTAATTTTATGCTGTCTTGTTTGAGCCAATGACAAAATGAAAGCTATGGATGGAAAAGAACGGGATCGTAGAAAGACGTGTAAAAAAGAGGACGGATGTGTTGATTATGAGCCGTTGAATTTCTCGAAGGAATTCAATTATAAAACTGGGGAACTGCGTAGTACACGATCGTCTCGATTAAGACGTTCGAGGATTGCAAAGTGCGGCGAAAGCGTCTCATGTACCTTCGAGTAATCATTCTGCGAGATTAATGCTTCCTTTCTCTCCCTCCTCCTGTCAATAGTTAAGTTGACGCTTCACTGACGTTCCATCAAAATATAATTATCGACGAACTATTATTTTGTCGAATAATCGGTGTAAAACAATACTTGTTCGTAACAACCATCTTCATCATGTCACATTCCGTTTTGATAACGTTATTTTACCTTCGCGTATATATACGTCGCGGATAGTGTCCGTTTTATTTTCCTTTATGTCTTCAGTGAGATATCGTTTGCTTAATTGTGCCGCAGTTGTATTATTCTTTCCATTATTCGCGTTATCTAAGTTCCTTGCATATTGTAATATAGGATATTACCGGCAAAGAAAGATAACAACGATCATTCCGTCTTTCTTTTTTGTAAAATAATATGTAATTAATATCTTAGAAAAGAATATATTTTCAAGCTTATATGTGATATGATTCTTACGTTATTCTTTTTATTTTCTATCGGGATCGATAGTTTGCGATGCATAAATGTAATGAAAAATAAATGGGACGCACAATATAACAGAATCGAGACAGTTTTCTTTGCCACATGATATTCTACAGAATGGTCTCAAATAAATGTTTATTCACATTGTTTGCTCACGAAATGTGCTTTCTGCATTTTATTGAAATTTGGAGCGTTTTTCTATATAAAATGATAAAATTATAATAAAAACATGAACAAATTAAAAAGAAATAAATAATTAACAAGTTAAAAAATTAAGGTTTCCAAATTTTTACAAAAATTCAGTATTATGTGTCAAAAATAAAGATAAAACTGCATAAAAGGTGACATACCTCCGATTTTATCGCCACTTAAATATGTTATAGAGGAGATTCTTCTGAGTAATTCCTCGCAAGAAATAAGTAGGGGACGGCATTGGTTTAGGAGATATAACAAATTAAAGTTTCACAGTTTTAATGGTTTTCTCAGGTATATATATTATAAAGTAATATTAGGAAAAGTAAAGTTTGTGTACGTTGTATTTGTTGTAGAGCAGACGTGGAAAAAGTGTTTGTTTACATTTACGGTATACGATCATGGATATTTTATCAATAATGTGTTTCACCTATGTCTCGCAGTTCGTTAACAGCTTTCAACGTGCAACTACACGAATTTGTGAGTCTTGTCTTGAAAAATATTATTTATTGAATGCGTAAGCGGAGGAAGGGCGAAGCTTTTTCCCCTGTACCCCTACCCCGAAAAAAATCGAATCTAACTCGACCCAATTTTACTTTTAAAACTGAAAATAGATTTGGGTTAGATTAGAATTTTTTCGGGGTGGGGGTGCAGGTGAAGAGGTTCCGTCCCTCCTCCACCATAAATGTCGTAAACAGTTTTTTTTGCAATGAAAAAATAACAAATTATATAGCATATACATACTTTAATCAAACTTAAATTTGTTATATCTTCTAAACCAATGCCGTTCCTCACTTATTTCTTGCGGGGAATTACTCAGAAGAACCTCCCCTATAATAGTTTTATCAAAATAAAAATTATTATTATATTCCTTAGATATCTTGAGATAAGAAAGAGATAGTTTAATAACAGTAAAGAATTTGAAGGCAGGAATCATTTTATGCATAATTATATGCGTTAAAAAAATTAATTCTGCATTCATCAAAAAAGCAAAAAGAATATATTTAAGTAAATATATTTTTTTCTACTATTTCTTCTATTTCTAACAACGTGTTATACTCCTTGAATTTTCAATTAATTATTATGAAACGATTTATCAATTACGTTTTTTCGTTACTTTAATCGCTCGATTCTGCGATTCGTATATTACTTCGCGCTTTTAATCCAAATGTGACTAGCAAAATATACCCAAATCGGCAAAAAATTCAAAGTGCGATATCAAATACATTACACTCAATTAAAAAATGTAAGGAGTATAGAATGTTCTGCGTGAATTTATTTTATATAATTTTTTAAATATTTTGTAGCGACAATGAGATGATTGTTGTGTAGTGGGGAGCGCTCGTTCTTGCGCCGTATCGGGCACTATCATACATATATCATAGCTTTGTACTATTTACATATCATGGTCTTGCTATCATTCGTGCGGTGCGACTCAAACAGAACAAACATGATATAATATTCTTTGAAATGCGGTTATTACGTTCAATTAGTCTACACAATTAATTGATTTTTACAGCAAACAATCCATAAGAGTGGTGACTATTTGTTTTGCAATCATTCGCAATTTGAGTCGCAAGAATTAATTAATCACGTAAATTGATCTCTAATTGTTCATAGAAAATACTCGCGTTTAAGATCTCTTTGAATTTCGAGAGATAATAAAACGACACATTATTTAAGTTATATATTTATTCATTTATATAATTATATGTAATACGTGATAAAACTTTTCTAAAACATAGTTTTTATAATCAAAATATTATTATCGCCACGAATGACGGCATAAACTTATTCGTATGATTATTGAGTAGATCGTAGCTTCGTAGTATAAGTTTTCGCGTCATTGTTTTTTCGTCGTAATATATTAAAATGTGCATGCGATTAATATCGGGAGTGTTGTACAAAGTGTCGCGCGATCATTGAATTTTATTAGTGCGCGTGACCGTAATTATCCGCGTTTTCGCAAATGAGTGCCATAGAACAGCAAAGAATGAATAAGAAAAAAGACACAGAAAGGCACCGCGTTGGTTGATAACAGAACCACTATAAAGTAGCAACTTATAATTTATTTATCAAATTTTGTGTGTATGTGTATGTGAAATAGAGTAGCTTTATTTTTGCAATAACAATCCATCTTCCATCATTGTGTAATATAATGTAGATCACATATTTCAGATTTTTTATTTTAAAACATATTTAATATATTTAATAACGATTAATATTTTACGTAGATATTTTTATATATTTTAACATTGTTTTTTATAGAAATTTATATAATTATTTAAATTATTATAAGAA